GTGATTTGTGCTCGCACTGTCCCCTTGTCTTGCACACTCCCTTTGTACCCATCTGCACTGCCCTATCTGCCCGGGATGGCAACCTCCCTGGGGGACAGCGCGTTTCTCACCCTTCCTCAGCTACAGGAGAAGCTGTGATGTGCAAAGCATTTGAAGCACACTGGAGTAGGCATTTGTCACTGGGATATGCACCAGCAGGGAAGGGCTTTTCAGGCTAAGGAGCAGTGGTTTCTATCCTGATGCTTGGAGTAAAGCTAGTTTATTTCTGGTTACAACATGGATGTTTGGCTTTGAGGATGATTTCTATCAGCTACCCGAGAAAGGGCTGACCTATGATCTTGATCTGATTCAGAAGGTTTTCTTTCTGTGATAGTCAGTTGCCAACTGTAGTTACTGTGTTGGGGAGGAGAAAAAATGTGATCAGATTGCTGCTGAGACATATGACCTCTCCCAGCCCAGGACATTGGCTTATCACTGAGTTTAATTACCATTGAGGGAACCAAACTTCACTGTGCAGCATGGAAGCCCATGTTGGGAAAAGGTCTTGCTGCAGTTACTGGGCAATGGTGAGGGAAGAGAGTTGGCTGTGGTCCCATCACTGCTGAAACTTCAGGAAGGAGTAGGAAAGAGAAGAGCCGAGGGGAGAATGAGAAGCAGCCCACGTGATTACCCATGTTCTTGTCTGCCTCCTTTCCTTCAGCCATGTTAGACCTACCCCAACCACAATAAGTGTCACATCGCTTGAGACAATCCCAGCCAACCTTGTGTTCCTGCAGCACCGAGAGCTCTCTGCACATTGGGAGAATTTGCTGCTATTGACATGAGCAGGCTGGGAGGTCCCCCAGAAAGTGGCAATTGAGATGATCTCCACAGGCCAGTCCGTTGTTGTGGGATTTTTGTCTTCTCTGTGGTGGTGTCCTGTAGACCTCATCCTGTCTGTGCAAAATGCTTTGATGAGGATTGCTCCATACTATCTCGTGCAGTGTCATAAAGCTTTTTAGGGGACTTTTCTCTGCTAACACAAATTGCCAAGCATGACCAAAGCAGTAACTAATTATCACCTGTTTACCAGAGCAAGAGCTGATCTTCAGACCAGCACAGCCTTTTGTCCTTAGCTGATTTTCCTTTCTCGGTTTTCATTGACTTTTGGTACTTTCAAAACTCTTGATCAGTAAGTCTATGCTCTGCATGCATGGAGACCTTTCCTCTGCTACAAGCAGAAGTAGTCCTAGAAGAAGGGTCTTAGCAATATACGGTTCTGATTGCCCATATTTAGACCGGTGGCACGAGTGGCAGAGGGTTTACGTGACTTTCCCAAGACCAAAGCAGGATTCAATGGCAGAGATGGAAAGCCCATCCAGGCCCTGTATTCCCCCCAGCAAAGAGCAGAAGTCCAGGAGCCAAGTGTTCCTCACCTGTCCTTCAGCCACAGCCCAGCCACACTCCTTCCAGCATATGAGAAGAACCCAGATAGGTTCATTTCTCAATCACCTTCTCTGATCAGTACCTTGTGGGACATGTTTACTAGGAGAGCACATAGAGTTGATCTCATTAGTCACCCTTCTGGTGCACTCACAGTTACGGTGACAGGCTCTGTCCTTCCTCATCCACCACTATCTTGTACCTGTCCTCTCCTTCTGCCTTTGCACTGCACTGCCACATTCATTCTCTGCAAGAACTGGTGTGAGCCTTGCCGTCTCTGGACTGGGAAATCTGTTTGGTTTCTGTGTGGCAACCTGCACTTCGAAGTTCCCTATGAACACGACTGATTAACCCTTTGAACAGAAACCTGCTTGTGACACTAATGAAGGCACATGGGTCTTGTGAATTGGCTGTATTAGACTTGACTTTAACTTTGGTAAGAAGAAGCATTCACTTTCTCCTGCAAACATAGATGAGAAAAACAGTTTGACTTCACAATCATGAAAACTGGCTCTTCAAGGCTCCTGAGACAACCCTTTTGGGTGCATAGACCCATCACAAAATCCACCAAGGTATCTCAGCGAGGGCTTTTGAATGGATACAGATACAGAGCAAATGAGCTCCACTGTGAGAAATGTGAGAACCAAATGGCTCCTGGGTCTCACCTATGGAAGGTGGAGAGGTGGCTGAAGAGTTGAACTTTAACTCTTTGGTGCTGTCACTGGTCACGTCTACAACCTGCCTGGTAGAATTCCAGTCTGATTCTCAGTGTTTGTGCACAGCAGCTCTCCCCTGTCAATGGTCTGCTGTTCCCATCAGTAGGACCTGGAGCAAAGCTGCTTCAGGTGGTTTCTAGAAAATAATGCTTGATGTGTCCAAGCTGCAGTCCAGGGAGAATACTGTAATTTTTCATTTTCTGGGGACACAGTTAAGGATTCCACCTCGAAGCTGACACAAAGTGACAGGTCTGGAGCTCTCTGCAAGCAGACTCACTTCAGCCTGCTGGTTTCCTGTGTTTGCTCCTGCCCAGGCCCCACGAGCACAGATAACTGGGCATGTGGGTATGTGAGTGTGTTCCAGGCTGAGGATTAGCTCCCAGTCATTTCCTTTTTTCCCATTTTTAATCTTTTAAAACAAAGAAAGAAGACCATCTGGCTCCTGCATTTGTGGGATGAAAAAATGCTTTAACAAAGGTGAACTGCTTAATTTCCTGTTACACATTTGGATACAGAAAACAAACATTTGTGTAACAAAAGCAGCAGAGAGGCTTGTTTTCCCTCTCTGCAAGGCTCTCCATGTTCTGCCTGAAGACAGATGCGTCCTTTTCCTTGTGCATCACAGAGGGACCCCATCAGATGGTGCCTTTAAACCTTCTTTCAACAAGACAGGATGGCGAGAAGATGGTTGTGGAGGTTGTACTGCCCCAGATCAAAGTGAGTGGGACAGCAGGTGTAGGTGGTGGGGAGAGGTGAAACAGCATCTGATTAGAAAGCCGATGAAAGTGAAGGGACTGAGGAGATGAGGAGAAGTAGCCCAGCATCTTTGTGAAAAGTAAAGGCGGAGATGCTGAAGAAGCATTTCTGTGATGTGTTGTGTAATGTGCTGTGCAGTCATTGGTGTGGGTCTCTGTGGGAAGGCAGGATAAAATATATCCATATTGGAGAGAAAAGATTTCAGTGGATTTTGTTTTCCTTGTTGTTTTCTCTAAAAAAATGTGTGAGTAGGTGATTTTTTTTAGGTATGACTCAGGACTGTGACAGCAGGTGGTGGGACGCTACAGGTCAGGGAAGTTGTGCCTCAGCCAAGCTGAGTGTGGCATAGAGACTGCAGCAAGTCAGGCAGAAGGTGCCCGCCCAGTGCTGCCTGGGGAGCTGGAGGCTGCCACAGGGGCTAGAGGGGTTTGTCCAGAGCTGGGAACATCACCAGGGCTGGGTTTAGGACCCCCAGCTGCTCTTTCACTCAGCAGACTGGGGCTTGGTTGCTCCCTAGTCCTGTGGCTCTGAACTCACCTGAACTCTGGTAAACTCCAGATCATTTTCCTTTTAAACCCCGAAATGCGTAATTCAATTCCAAAACAAAAATCATGTGGCAGCTGCCCAGAGAAAAGGCAATATTTCTTCATCTTTGGAAGAGAACAGTCTTAACTCGTAGTCAGAAATCCAGAATAACTTCCAAGGTAATGTCCTGACGTGGGTGGGACATAAGCAGTGAAGACACATGTCAACTAGAGAGAGGATTTATGTAGGCATTAAACCTCATTATGACTTCCCTCTGTCCAGATCTCCTATGTCCTACCCTTCTGGCATGCTGCCCCAAATCTTGGCCTCTGCTTAAAAGCTCTTAGGGATTTAGCTCCATCCTTTCCCAGAGGTCTGTCCTGAGTGTTCTCCTCGTCACAGTTCATCAAGTAGAGGATACCTGCTTGTCAAAAAAAGACACATGCAGGATTTGCGAAGGGCTCTGAAAGTATGTTTCTATTTCTAGCAACACAGACTTAAACATAATCACAAAAAACGCTCCCTGCTTCTGTGTCCTCACCACTCTGGAGCATTGTTTGGATTTGGGAGAGACGAGGTTTGCAGGAAGAAGTAATATCTTTTATTAGAACATATAATATTGTTGGAGGGGAAAAAAGAATGAATTTTAGACACACAAGCCCTCTCTGAGCATTTTTGTTGTTGTTGTTTTTCAGTAGTATCAGTTGTTTAATAAAAGATTAATATCTCTTCCTATGAACCGTGGCTCTCACATCCTTAGACCATCAGAATCAAAACAATGTTTC